CTCTCTCTCTCTCTCTCTCTCTCACCCCCCCCCTCTCTCTCTCTCTCTCACACACACACACACACACACACACATATGTGCACATCCATTCTCTCCTCTTGATAGAAGGGACCATTTTGACAACCGGCTAGCCCTCCTTGTCCACAGCGTGCACCAGAAAGAATGAACTGGCACGTTGTGGGCCAGTAAATGATGTCATTGATGTCTCGTCAACAGAACAGCTTGAGTTGTGGGGAATAAATTGGTTCCACCACCGTCACACATTCTACAGAGTTACTCCCTTGAGTGTCCTGAGATGAGATAGCCAATGTTCTATCCCGCATTTGCGAAATGTTAACCTAGTGGGGCCTTCGTGCTGCTCTGGGACTTTGAAGCGTCCCAAAGTACACGTGCTGGTACTCTTGGGGGGCACGAGGGATAACAATACCTGCTGATGCAATTGCGGAAAGACTCCGAGAGAGCCATTTGTCTCCTGGTGTGTTTAAGAGAAGGACAGTGAGAGGATAGTGAGAGGATAGTGAGAGAGGATAGTGACAAGATAGTGAGAGGATAGTGAGAGAGGATAGCGAGAGGATAGCAAGAGGATAGCGAGAAGATAGTGAGAGGATAGCAAGAAGATAGTGAGAGGATAGCGAGAGGATAGTGAGAGTGAGAAGATAGTGAGAGGATAGATACTGAGATTGAGACGATAGTGAGAGGATAGTGCGATACGGTAGTGTGGGAAGGCCGAAGAGAATGGTGCGCAGGTGTCATGTGTTGGGGCGTGAGGAAGCTAGAAGTGCCTAAGGAGACTTCTGATGACGGCATGCAATCCAGAAATGGAAACGAAGATCTATTTCCAGAATAGGAAACACAAGGCAAGTTGCAATGTCCAAAGCATGAGATTCTGTGGAGTGGGTTGGACGACTAGCGTCTTTTCCCAAATAGAACGCCCGGCGCACGGTCATTACTGCTGCATCGGGACGGAAAGTTGATCCAAAAAACATCTATAATGACCGGGCGTTCTATTTGGGTGAAGACGATAGGTTCAGCAAGTGAAATGGGCTGAGGTCAGTCGACATAAACTGTGCCACGTGGTGATTTGGTCGGACAGCTTGATGCCGCAAGTGAAACAGATTGGGCGGAGCACATCGACCATAAATTGTGCCTGGTGCAGGCTGGTTTGGACGGCTGGCTGCGCCGACAAAAATGGATTGGGCTTAGTGCATTTGGACATTCACTTCTCCAGGTACAGGCTTGGTTGGACATGAACTGCGCCAGGTGCAGCCTTGGCTGTGCAGGTTGGTGTAGTTCACAGAGCTGGTCAGGCTGAGCACATCTGATATAAACTTTGCCAGATGCTGCAGGCTTGGTTAGAGAGTTGGCTGCAGTTCGTAACGCTGGCTGGGCTGGGCGCATCGGATATGCACTATGCTGGCTGCAGGTCTGGTTGGAAACTGGACTTGCTAACTGTATCTGGTTAATCTGCGCACATTGGACATGAACTTGGGACATGAAATGTGCGAGGTACAGGCTTGGTTGGACAAGCTGTGTGGACTATACGCACAACCGCGGGTCGGACCGAGCCGCCGTGTCCAAGCCGTTACTCGCTGTTTGCAAACGGACATGAATTCTGCCACGGACGGTGGCAGGTTTGGGCGATTGGGTGCTACTGATTAAGACCGTGTACTGGGCTGAGAGCGCAGATGAGCACAAAATGATGCCAGATGGAGGCTTGGTTGCGAAGCCGGTTGCACCGCGTGATGCGTTTTTTTTTTTTTTTTTGTGGCGAGTGCGGCCGGACTGGTTTGACGACTAGTCTACTAAGCAACGCTGCTCGGGCTGAGTGCAAGAATTATGCCAGGTACAATCTTGGGGCAGCTGACTGCAGCATGTGGAGCTGCGGGAGGGGAGCACACGCATCGCGCTGAAACCGCACCCCAAGCTCAGGCTTGGACAGCCAGCTGCACGGCTTTTGAACGGTTGGCCCGCGTACATACCATGCAGATTTCTTTGTTGAAAACGCAAATTGAATAGTGGAAAGCGTTTGACAAACCTTCGTTAAGGTTTGTCGAACGCTATCCCTTTTCCACGGGTGATGGAACGTAGGACTTGTCCGAGCTCGGTCGGTATACCCATAAACCGCTTGTACCTTTGGCAGCTATTTTACAAAGATGTGGCTCGGTAACGGCCGCACCCTTCGGGGACGGGCCACTGTCGATGAATTTCTTTTTCTTTTTTCTTTTTTTCTTTTTTTTTTGTCGATGAATCTCGGTGGCGGCCATTGTCGCATTTCGGGCTTCTGAACTGAAAGTAGCAGTGAGGGCGCTGCGGCCGATGTGTGGGTGAGGTAGTGGTGGTATAAACTGATGAAATGCAGAACTGAGCTCGGATCCCGATGGGGGGAAACAGAAAGGGACGGTGAGAGTCGAGCTTGTCAATCAACGATTGAAGAGAAGGCGCTAAGGCAAAGTTGAGCTCATGATGTGGTGTGCGGGACTGACTATATGATGCGCAGCGGGGAGTGACATACAAAGGTGGTGGGTGCGAGTCGTGCAACCTGCGGCGGATGATATTGTTCGTGGCTGGGACGCCGGTAAGCTGGGGCAGATCTGTTTGTGGAACTTTGCGCTCTGTGTCGAACGTTTGTTGTCGTGTACTACCATCTTTCTCAGAACTTTCGCCGATAGTGCACTGCACACTCATCATGAGTGTATGTATGCAAGCTATCTTTCGAGTCCAAATGCAATCATGATGAGCTCGTGTTGTGTTAGGGAGAAGGCGGTAGCAGCAACATCTGTCACAGGCTCTAGCTGTGGTATCCGCACCACGTGCTAGCTGGGACGCATCCATGCAGTGCTCTGCCGTCTTCCCTGAAAGAACACACCCTGATCATGACTGTATACAAGCTATCTGTCGCGTCCGATGAGCTCAGGATGAGGGACCKCGTGCTAGCTGGGGCACATGCAGTGCTCTGCCGTCTTCCCTGAAGAGAACGCACCCTGATCATGACTGTATACAAGCTATCTGTCGCGTCCGATGAGCGCAGGATGAGGGACCACGTGCTAGCTGGGGCACATCCATGCAGTGCTCTGCCGTCTTCCTTGAACAGAATCCACCCTGATCATGACTGTATACAAGCTATCTTTCATGTCCGATGAGCTCATGAAGAGGCTGCGTTGTGTTTGGACGAAGGCGGCCGCTTGGGAATTGGCAACATGTGCTAGCTAGCTGGGACATCTGTGCTGTTTTTTCCCCCCCTCTGACCAGATTGGTTTCCTCTGGGCCAGATTGTTGTACGTACACACAGCGTTCCATATCGGATATCGCCTGTGTATGCCGGAATCGGACCATATTGGATGTATGCACTGTGCTCTGTGTTGCGGGCACGAGGGCAGTGTAGTATGGTCAACTCGCCAACCGGAAACGAACCACCAGGGGAAGCACGGAGATGCTCATCGTACGGTCAGCGGATCGTAACAAAAGCGAAGTAAATCAATTTGATCCAAGAGCCGTAAATGATACAAGCATAGAAGTGCGAAGAGAGCGAAGCCGGCGATGCTTCGTCAGAAGATAGACGAGCATGAGCTTCATGGAACGAAAGCTGGTCGTCAAAGAGGCTCGGCCATGCAATGGGTTTATGAAAACACACGAACTTAGCAAGTTGCTGCGATCACTTCAGAAAACATTTGACAGAGCGTTTTTCCGTGCGCATTTTTCAGCAACTACTGCTCCAAGAAAGATGTTCATCTTTTTTTTTTTTTTTTTTTTTTTTCAGAACAAGAGGTTCACCTTCTTAACTTCATGCAGGCTAAGCGCTTTTCCGTCCGTGCGCAATTTTCGGCAACGACTAGTGCAAGAAAGAGGTTCACCTTCTTAACTTCATGCAGGGATGCTGGACCCGTTTTCCAGCAGGTGCTGGCTGCTCCACACCAATAGATTGGAGCAACCAGGCGGCCCGCTAGGAGGGGATGCTCTCGTATCACTCGCCCTAGCGTGGTCGGGGGGGTTAAAAAAAAAAAAAAAAAAACGCAGTGTGCGCTTTTCCACACACATTTCAAGTATTGGTTCAAGAAAGATGTTCAGCTCAAGATCCATGCAGGCGGATTGCGCAGACAAGCCTTAGGCACAAGAAGATCGTCGATCACGAGCGACAATTTCCACGCTTGGGTCCTGTGCTGCTATGATCATAAGACCCTGTCTGCCTTCGTGCTCGAGCTGCGTTGGTTGACGAAGCTCCATGTGTGCACGCAGCTATGCCTGCTGTTTGAGATCTATGGCACATGTAGCAGGCTCTACTTGTGGTTGGTTGAGCTATATGGCATATAGAGAGAGCTGCTGCGGACAGTAATATCCGTCTGTTTGGGCTGCTGTGGTTGAAGAAGTGAATAGAACAGGGGCGTGACCACAGACGGATATGGGTAATCGATCGGAAATAGCAAGCACCGAAGTCCGAACCTCCGATTAGAGTGGACCGACAGCAGGCCTTGTTAGCAGCAAGAAGATGCAAATCTCAACAGTCTCGACATGTGCAAGGAGAAAGAAAGAAAGAAAGAAAGAAAGAAAGAAAGAAAGAAAGATAGGAGTGAAGAGGTAGGGAAGGGAGACGAAGAGAGACGCAGTAGGATACAGTGGACGAAGGTAGCAGGAATCATGTATAAGCAGTATTAAGCACCATTACTCGGGAGCTTTTCGTAATCGGAAAAAAATGGAGGGAAACAAGTTCCTTGTGTGGTGGTCCCAAACCTTGTGTTTGAGCTGCTGTTGTTGAGAGAGTGAATAGTCTTCCTAAAAAAAAAAAAAAAAAAAAAAAAGAAAGTGAATAGTAGCGGCTTTTGACCACAGATACGGGTAGTTTCAGAATGAGGGGTGGGATGGGGGAGCCTGCAATTGTCATCATCAAGATAATGCAAAGTTAGCTGAGGCAAGGAAGCAGAAGAAATTGAAGAAGAGGATTTTAGATTTTTATTTCCCTTTTTCTTTTTTTTTTGGATTTGAGAAAGTTATTGCCTTTGAATTTTGTGATAAGTCACATTCCTCTTTTACTTCTCCCTTCTCTCTCTTGCTCCTCCTTTTCCCTCATTCCTTTTTTTTCTTTTTCTTTTTCTTTTTCACTCATTCCTTTTTTTTTTTTTTTTCACTCATTCCTTTTCTTCCTCTTCACATTGTTTTCTTCCTCTTCACTTTGTTGAGTTTTCTTCCTCTTCACTTTGTCGAGTTTTCTCCACTTTTCTTTTTAAAAAAAAAAAAAACCGGCAGCGACCTTGGGATATCGTCATGGAACTGTCCGGCCCCAGGTAATTGAGAAGTCTGAAATTCATTAAACTAGTTTCATCAGCTTTCATGTGGATTTGAACTCACATCTGTATTTCAACAGTTCATGGATGTACCAACTGAATTAGGGCCATTATTAGGCCCGTTGGTTGAGTTTTCTCTTATAGCTCGTAAAATATTTCCTGTTTGTTTTCTTACTTGCCCCCTTCAAACCACCAGTATCTTACCGCAA